TGTGGGAAACCCTTTAAATGGATCTGGCAGTTCCTGTTTCACCAGCCACTTGTGATGTATTTTTACTGTCTTACTGCACAGTGTAAAAGCAGAAACATTCTTGAGACAACCAGGCTCTGTTAAGAATCCTGAGGGGATCTATTATTTGTTGATATACTTTATTGGTACAGAATAAAAAATGAGTCATTTTACTCAGATAAATCCTGGGTGCTTTATGATTAATCACATTAAAATATATTCTTGCTATTTTCAGGCTTTAGCAAACTGTTGTACATTTTTCTTTCTGATGACTATTTGGTATGTTCAGTTTTATTTGGGAGGGCTGGGATGAATTTTTGGTGTGGTTCCTGAAAAAGAAAGACACTAAACACTGAAAAATTTGTATTTAGCCTTGCAAGCTGCAAACAGCTGCACTTCTGCTCTGCCCTGTGCTGGTCCCTTGTGAGCTCTAACTTTTATGGGATTTTTTTGTGAGTTTTCTGGGCAATTCTTTAATGTAAATAACACTACTGTACAAAGGGCCAGGGGCTCAATGGAGCCATTTAGAAAATGGATGTAAAGCATGTTTTATTCCTGTATTTATCAAGTGAGTAACAATAATGAGCTCATGGCAGCCAGTCCGCCTGGGTTCAATCCCAGATCCATGAGCTGTTTTATACACTGGGTGGTGAGATCCTAAATCAGCTCTTTTGGTAGCGAAGCCTGCTGGAAGATGAGTGGATTGGGCTGGTTTGGGGAGCCTTCTTCCAAGGGCTTTTCCCCCCTTTCTTTGTTTGTAAACCTCCTTAAAATGAGGTGCCTCTTCTTTGTATTGATTCAGCATCTTATCATGCAAACATTAAAGAAAGCCTTCCATAAATGCTGATTATTGCTGATTCTAGCCTGGCATCAGCCCACAAAGTGAGACAGAAACCCACAGAGAGGAGATGGAAGTGTAAACTGAACCCTTTTTATTTTTCTGATGCTTGGGATAAACCCTCAGCAGGTAGTGCAATCTTTCATACCAGCCATAAGGTGCTGAGAACCCATTTCACAAATTTCTTGGATATATGTAACATATTTCTGCAGTTACTCTGGGGCAAATACAAGAGCTGTGGATTCTAATTTAAAGTATATGAAGAGTTGCAATGAATAAATGAGTCCAAATCCACTCTATGCTTAAATAACAGATAGTTTCTATTTCAGTAAGCCCTGCTGGACAAGGCCCTGTGTCCTTACAGCACTTAAACCAGTGTTTCCAAGGAGACATTACCATTCACACCACATTTTGCTCTGTAGTGACAGAGCACAGAAATTGCTCCTTCCATTTTCTTTCTGTACCTTGTTGGAACCCCAGTTTCCCTGTTTCTTTGGAATTTGGTGGCCTGAGAGAGGCACATGTCCTTGCCTGCTTCTCCATGTGTTGCAGTGTTTCCATTTCTGCTCTCATCTGACCAGGTCCAGGTTCCTTCTGTTGGTTGCACAAAATTAGGTCAGTGGCTTCACGAAAAGGTGTTGTCACATGCAATTAGCCCTGCATTCTTCTGAATTTTAGGGAGATAATTGCCTTTCCAAGACTTCAGTGGAACAGATAGATCTGTCTCTCAGTCCCTGTATGATTTCAGTGTAAACATGCACATGTTGCAGAGCATAATTTAGATTGAAAGTAAACAAGATCTGTGCTGTGACCTGGGATGAGAAGCCCAGGAGGAGAGTGTTTCTGGCCCAATGGTTTTGTCATAATGACTTTCACAGCACTTGTTGGTGACAGCTGGCATGGGAGCTTCTGTGACCTGATTGTGGTGATACCCAGAGCCCTTCAGATCACTCCCAAACCTGCTCTGACTCATGTGGGTGGGATGGTTTGACACACAGAGTCCACACAGCACAACAATTGCCAAAACCTCTGCTACCCCCAGATATGCCTCTCTGCTGAGAGGAGCTGTAAAGCTCCTGGAATCCAGCTAAAAATCAGAGCTGAGAGCATCAAATCAGTCAATGGCTTTTACCACACCCTTTTGATAGAAAAGGGGAACAAGGACTTTATACAGCTATTTTTGTTGGCCAAGCCTCAGCAGCAGACAGGATTAATGCAGTGAATATTGAATTTTAAGTACTCTCCATTCTCTGAGGCTTAGTTTGGATTTGGGAAGGATGCTCCTCTCTCCCCTACACTTTTCCCTGCTGTAGGATTTGCCTATTGCTAAGTGAACAGTCAAATTCATCTTGATCCCAGCAGAAATTTTGTAGAGATATTAAGCAAGCACAGTCAGTCTCTCAAATAGTTCAGTTAACTTCATTTAATTTGCATGTCTAAGAGGAAAGCTGCCATTTAATTTCTCCGAAAGACATAAAGTGATTTTTCTCTTGGATTCTCCTCTGCTTAGTGCCATTGCTGGCAGAGTATTTTCCAAATAGGTTTGAAATAGTTGGGTTGAGAGGGATTTTTGAGCTTCATGTGCTTGTGACCTTAACAAGTGTAATGTTAATAATAAATGTCTGATCTTGAAATCTTTGCTCATACAAGTAGTTCTTTTTTACATGAGCAAACCTACACATTGTAAGGATTTATATGAGAATTTTTTTTTTTTCCTCTGAGTGAATTCTGCCAGCTGCAAGCCTTTGGAGTCTGTATACTACAGCACAGCTGATGTGAGATATATGAGATATTTTAGAGTCTGGCCCAAGACCCAAGATGATGACAAATGACATTCAGAAAATAAAAGTGCTCTCTCAGTGTCCTGCAACTTTGTTTTCCTCAGTCCTAAGCTCTCCCAGCAAAGAGAATGTTTTGCCTCAGTCTCCATTAAAACCTCTAAGACAGCTCTGAGGTTCCCAGCAGGGCTGTAGGACTCTGCACCACATGCAAGGACATCGCCAGGTGTCCTGTTCAAAGCTCCCCTGGCTGCTTCTTTTCCCTCCAGCCTGCCACATTTTATGATTTTCTGCTGAAGGCATCTGTTCATACTCATTTTGGGGGGCTTGTTTCTCTGTTATCTGACAACACAGCAGGGTTTATAACCATGAACAACCATCCCAGACTCAGGTCAGAATTTATATATCTACATCATTTTCTCCAACCTACTGCCAGGATATTGGAAGACAAAAATGTCTCAATGTTTAATGACAATGTATTACCAGGTTTTTCAGATCTGTAGGCAGATTCAGTCTTCCAGTGCTTTCTCTTTAAGGAATTGTATCAGTTTTAGGACTTCATCAAAGCTGGAATAAACTCTAAGGCTGCATGCATCAGCCAGGTCTCAGGCATCAACATCAGAAGATTCAAGAGCTCTTTGGTATGATTGGGTGAGGATGAGAAAATGGAAATTTATTTGACATCATCTGACACAGGTGGATCTAAAAAGGACACTTGTACTAAAATAAATGCTGGCTTGTGGGGAATTCACTTGAATTCCAAGAACTTCCCTGATACCAACGCACCAGAGAATCACCTTGTGTGAAGAGTTCTTATGGACCTGAATGCTGAAAGGAGATAGGAATTGGGGATGTGCTCTCATGGTGTCCTTGCAATGCAGGGAGTGAATTGCACAGGCAGGAAGGAAATCACATCAATCAGCATCAGTTTCTGCATTTCATAGGTAGAAATCCAGTGCTGTCACCTCTGTGCCTGTTTTTCAGGGAGCTCATGCAGGAGTATAAGGATTCAGTGTTTGGTTTCAAAGAGAGAAGTTTGATTTGATATTTGCAGGGTGCTGTGTCTTGTGCTTATTGATGTGCCTCATGTTTATCTGCCTCTTCCCTGAGAGCCCAGAAGCTGCAGGGCTGTTCTGGACAAACCCTGCAGGTTTGCCCTCCAGAGGGGCAGGGAGTGAGTGATGCTTGCTTGTGATACTGCTGATGTGCTTGGCATGGCCCCTGCCTGGGCTCCCAGCACCATCCAGGACATCTCATGGTTTTTTGGCATAAGCATTAAATAAATAAATAAGTAAATAAATAAATAAATAAATAAATTATATATATATATATATATATATATATATATACACACTTATGCAAAACAAGAGTAGCCTAGGAAAAAATAACTTTGATCAAACTTGTTTGGTGAAGCAAGTATTCAAGAAATTTCTCCTTTGTTCTCTGGGACAGGATACTTTCTGAGAGCTGCTGGACAGCAAAAATAGTTTAAAGATTTAAGTAAAAGGCAAATGGAATTTGGATTTCTAGGAGATTCATTTATTTAGTTGCATATAGTAACAGGACAGAATTTCAAAAAGTGATGCCCTGTATGAATTTGTATAAAATTATTCATATTTAAACCTTTCACACTGATGTCCTGACTCCTGATCGCTGTAAAGGACTGCTGTCACCAGTGGAGAATCACCACCTCTTAAATCACTGGCATTGACTCTGCTGTTATTGACTATTTAGAAAACAAGTAATAAACTGTCCCTTGTGAGATGAGCTGCTGTGCAAGCTGCCCAGCTCCTCCCCAAGGTCCACAGAGCACAGACTGATATGAAGATGCAACTTAGCAGGTCATACAAACATGAGGCCAACTCTATGCCTTGACTGAATACAGTTTTATTTCCTGACTGACAGGGGCCTGACAACCCTCTCTGATATCACCAGCACCACTCCCTGCTTTATTTATGTGGAAAAAAGCAACAAAACCCCCATGCCTTGTGTCTGGTTATAATGATGGAGAATGTCCCCAGCTGACCAAGGTGTCCTCATTAATGGCTGTTCTAAATTTAGCCCTTGCAGATGCTGTGTGCCCCCAGTTTAATCAAAGACCTGGTGGCCATGGCAACGACACCGAGCATCTGGGTGTGTGAGCTCTGCCAAACTCCATCACAAAGTGCAGGGTGGGAAACACAACAGCTCCAAGTGCATTCATGCATTGTTCTTTTCTACTACACATTTTGAAGTGGTTAGGAGAGCTTCTCAGGCACAAATGTTAGACTGTTTTTGCAAAAAAAAGAGCTCTGTTAACACAGGTGGCAGTTACTAATCTCTTTTTTTTTGTTTTGTTTTGTCTTTTTCTTAATTCTGTTTTGCAGGTGTATCAGCATTCATATACAGCATATTATGTCCTCAGCAAAATACCTCATGGGTAAGCAATTTTTCAATGTCTTCATTTAAAAACTCAGCCATTAAGAATCCTGCAAAACAATGTGCATGGTGACAAATGGCTGCCTGTGACAGCCCTCTGCAAAGGCCTGGCTTTCAGCTGCAGCCTCCACTGAGCTGTGTGCTGTGTGTGCAAAAGATGGGGAGGTCTGGAAACAGAAATAGTCAGCTTCCCCAGAGAGTTAGACTACATGAATTTCACATTCCAGATTTCAGGGGTTTTGTCTGGAATATAGATGTGGTGGTGTCTGGCTGAGAGCCATGGTTGGCCACTCACCAGAGCACTGGAGAGGAGCAGGGTCTGGGGAGACCTCGCTGCAGCCTCTCAGTGCCTGAAGGGGCCTGGAGTGGGCTGGAGAGGGACTTGTCTACAAGGGCATAGAGTGCTAGGACAAGGTTCACACTGAAAAAGAGCAGGTTTAGACTGAATATTGGGAATAATTTCCTTCCTCTGAATGTTGTGCAGCCTGGCCCAGAGGAGTGGTGGCTGCTCCATCCCTGGGAGTGTTCAAAGTAAGTTTGGGTGAGGCTTTGAGCCACCTGGTCTGGTGGAAAGTGTTCATGGCCAGGGCAGGGGGTTTGAAATTGAATGATTTTAAGGACCCTTGCAACCCAAACCATTCAATCATTCTGTGATTCTTTAGCTTTGATTAGTTGCAGTTTGTTTCCATGTATGGTTGGAACATGAAAATTAGGAGATTTCTCACCATCAACCCTGTTAAAGCTGTAGTGTCGATGTGACACACTCCAGACTTCTTCAGCCTCTTCCCTTTCACAATCTGCTGTTTGTTTTTTGCTTTCTTTTTTTTGGGGGGAGGGAGTAGATTTGTATGTGTATGTGTGTGATTTTTTAAATTTGTTTTTGTTTTGGTTTGTTTCAGTTTGTTTTGTTTTGTTTTGTGTCGGTTGCTTGGTAGGTTGGTTGGTTGGTTGAGCTGGCTTTTTTTCTGGGAATTTCCTCAATATGCTTAGTTTTTGAAAACTCCATCTCTCTGGCAATATATCTGAGTAGTAGCTTGTGGGCTGAAAGTGTTCAGCAACAGGATGAAGCCACAGCAGGAGCACATAAGCTTTGTGTCTGCAGCAAACCTGGCTAAGAGCAAGAAAGGCTTGACTGACAGCGCAGTTCTATTCCAGACAAAACAAAGGTGGAAAAAATAGAAGTATCATGCATAGCATGTATTAGAAATGCTAAAAAATAGCAACACAGTGGTCCCAGAAGTTTTCTGCTGCTGCATGATCTTTCTTTGTCCTTGTTCCCCCCAAGCTCCAACTCTGCTGTGCACCCACCTGGGGCTCCCCTTGCTCTCTGTGTTTGGTTGGGCAGTGGTGCAGGGAACTGAAGGGTTGGATATGTCAGAGGAGAAGTCCCCAGCATAAAGGGCAAATCTGGAAAGTGAGAGCACACCAGAGGCCACACAGGTGTGTCAGGCATTGGTGTCCCCACAGCCTGATGTGGTGGTCATGGATCAGGAGGCCACGAGATGAAGAAGGGCTGGAAGGATCACTGAGTCTCCTGTTGGTAAAGGGGTGGTTTGCAGAGTTTAGGCTTTTAGGCATTATAAACTACATTGTGCAGTGGATATTTCATTGACCTTCCAGGTGATGATGGTGCACGTGAGTGGTGGACAGGGCAGCACTCTGCCATTTCCATGGAACATGGGCATTTATCCTTCCTGTGGAGTCCTGTGTATATTTTAGGGTGGTGCATGAACAAAGAGGGTCCAATATGAATTTTCTTCATCATTCACATCCTTCACTAAAATAAGGGAAAGAAAACTTAGTTTCTTCAGATCTAGGAGGCAAGCAGTGAATGTGATGTAACAGGCGGTGAAATACATCAGCTGACAGTAGAACCTCTGTTGGATGAAGGGAGAAAAACCTCTTCATCACCTATTTAACATTTAACATAGGACTATTGCTCTGATGGATATCTGTGGATGAAGGTTGCTGAGGGCAGGGCACAGCACAAGGTTCAGTTCAGTTTGACATTCCACCTTCTTTGGTGATGATGAATTTGCCATCCACAAGCAACCATCCTTGTCCTCCACCTATCAATAGCAGGAGTGACAAAATTCTGCACTGAGCAATGACCCCTTTGCTGTTTTTACAAACTGTTTTCGGTTTTTCCTCCTCTGCAAGCAGGCACAGCTTTCACCCTATTGGTGTGTGGCCCTTGGCATCTCTCCAGCTCAGTGGCCAAGGCAGTGAGAGCTGGGGAGCAAACTCAGTCCCCTGCACAGTGTCCCTCCTGGAAACTGGCCGTGACAGTGTCCCTTTCCCTGTGCTGCCTCTCTCTGTCCTGTTCCCCATCCTCAGCTATGATATCGAAGGCCAGGCAATTTAGAATTTGCACCCACTCATGCCCTTGCTACTCCCCTGCTGAGGCTAACTAATAAGAAAGCCAATTAACCTAATCTCTGGCATCACTTTTTAAATAACATGCCATTAATCTGCCAGCATAAATTGGTTTTTAAAGGGAATTTTCTAATTATTTTTGCCACGTTCTGCATGCTCTCCAGATTCAGGCTGTGCCTGAAGTCAAAAGAAGCTCATACCAATGTTTTCCACATTTCATTTTGAGCTCTCAATGAGTTTGACAAACCAATTTTGGAATGTCCACAGTACCTACGTTCCCAAATGGTATTTTATACAGCACTGCAGCATCTTTCCACAAGAGCTGTTGCCAAACTCCTCACACTGGCTCTGTATAGGACAACTAACAGATGTCACTGACACAGACTCAAAGGATCTGATTTAAAATTAAAACAAGCCCGAGGTAGCAGAAAGAGATCACACGAATTTAGTACCTCCCTTCTGTTATTTCAGCTTTCTCACAGCCTCTTGGTAAATTGGAGGTAACACCCACCACTGCTTTTGATATAAAGTTTTCAATAGTCAATCTGAATTTTATTTCTATATCTTTTATTGTAAAGAAAGCAAGCAAGAAGTGCTGGATGGCTGGAGAGTCACTGCTCCACTCACGGCACACCCCACTTACAAGTTGGGTAAAGCATATATACTGTTTTAGAATTTTATTTCTATATTTCTATTTTATTTCTTTATTTCTAACTTTAGAATTTTATTTCTATTTCTTTTATTGTAAAGAAAGCAATCAAGCAGCTCTGGGTGGCCAGGGAGTCACCGCCCCACTCAGGGCACACACCACTTACAAGTTGGGCAAAGTATATATACTGGTTTTAAACCTACAAAGCATTTTCCAATGTGCTTGGTTAGTCCAAATCAGCAAATATCAATAAGATGGCATCAGCAATTTTCATAATCTTTCCAGGTGGTAGTTAGATTCCTGTCCTTGTGGTCATCTGGAGGGAGGCCTTACACTGGTGTCTGCTGCATGATTTTGTCAAGTGCATCAAGCTTTATGTTATACATAAGCATTTAGTTGTTTTGTTACAATATCTCTTAGCTTTACCACAGCTTCCTATATTTTATTTTAAGCACCAGTCATCTTGCTACCTCATCTCTTTCACTCCTCTATACTTCTTTTATTTCAATGCTTTATTTGGTGTGGTGGTGTTTGCAGGACAAGGGAAGAGATGAGAATCTTGACTCCATGTTTCAGAAGCCTGATTCATTATTTTATGATATATATTATATTAAAAGACAATTATATATTAGAACTACAGTAAAAGAATAG